GCCTCGGGCTGTGATGATGGCGGCGGTGGGGCGTCCCGCGTTGTTTGTGGTGGCCGTCGTGCTGTGCTGCGTGTGTGGCTGTGCAGCGGCCACTGCTGAGGCCATCGGTGACGAGGAGCAAGTGATTGTTTCCCTGCAGAATGCGAAGAAGAAGGCTGTTCAGGCCAGGAATGCGGTGGGCACAATCAAGAAAGCAACGGATAACTTCAACACTGAGGCGGAAAAGGCATCAGAAAAAGCAACTGAGCTTCAGGGCAAAGTGAAGAACAGGAAGGATGATCAGCTGGAAGATATTGCCGAGGTGACCAGGTTAGCGAAGGACGTTCTGAGCGCGACGAACACATCTCACGAATCGCTTGTTTCACTCTGTAAGAATGTTGGTGAAGCAGTGGAATCAACGACTAATGCAGAAACGTTGTTCACCAAAGCGCGGGGGATGGCTGGCAGCGCAATGAAGGAAGTGAATGAAGCTATCACTAACAAGGCGAAGCTCGCAGAGGGGGAATTCAAAAACCTATTAAACGTTCTGAAGGGATTCTCAGCGGGCCAGAAATGCTCTGAAGTAGCAAAAAAAGGATACAAAGGAGGGGGTCAACGCTTTTAATGCCTTGAACAACGCTAAGGCAGCGCTTGGCTTTCTCAATGACATAGCTGCCAAAAAAACCCACCTGTAATCGAGAAACTAAAGAATGCCGCTGAGAAAGCTGGAAAAGCCGCCAAAAGTGCAAAGGATGTAGACGCGGCGGCAGCTTCAAGCGCTGTCATCGAGGTATCTAAACACGCTGCGAAAGCCTTCGAGAGCGCTGAGTCATGGCTGGGGGAGGTCGAGGCTTCACTGAAGCCTCTCAAAGAGCAAGAGGAGGGACTCGAGCCTTTACCTGCAGATCCTCAGCCCCTGTCACCTTCACCTTCGGAACCGTCACAGGACGAGGCACAGGGCCAGAGTCTCCAACAGGAACCACTGGGCAGTAGTTCCACTGGTGAGAAGCCTTCTGACCAACAACAAGCTGGCACCGCGGCAACCGACACAACGCAGTCAACATCAGTACCATCGGAGGAGAAGACAGCCGCAGAATCCATGGAGAATGTTGCTTCTCAAGCTGCTGATGCGCAGCTGACACCTCCCAACATCAATGTTCAAACCACCCTGAGTGATGCCCTGAGTAGGGACAGCAGCGTCAGTCCTTCGTGGGTGCGTACACCGTTGCTGCTGGTGGTTGGTGGGATGGGCCTCCTGGCTGTGTGCTGAGCTCTGTGTGTGTGCACACGGAGAGGACGCATACACCCTGTGCTTGTGTGTGCTGCCCTGGAGATTGTTTACTAACATGTTCTGGTTTACTTTACGTTTGTTCCCCCCCGCCACGTAATCCACTTTGGAGGATACTCTCTATGCTCTGTATCCAACGAGGACGGCGCATCTCTCTCACTGCTGTAAT